ATCGATCATCAGTTCACAATTTTATTTTAAGTCCACAACAGGTGGGTTTCACTTAAAATTATCCCTTTCAAAAGCATTGTAATACTTTATGAAATACAAAATTTCTATATTAACCCTTCAATTATAAGTGGCAATATATGTGCCCAGATGTACACCCTACTTTATATTTTACTCTGCCTAACGCCAGACGATTTTACAATGGTATCATGCAATTAAGCCTGGAACAAATAGTCAGTTATAAATACCTATCTTGATCACTCAACTATCAATGGCTTGATATATAAAAACCTAAAACTTATATGTTAGAGATATTAACTTGGTATGGACTTACCACTATAGTGCAGGTATTTTTTTTGGACACCTGAAAACTTTTTTAATGCCATTATTGGCTGGCTGCATCTATTTATTAGTAAATAACAATATTGCACGCTGTTTCCAAGCAGCATATCTGTTTTGTGTCAAGATTTTGTGTGCTATAAATATTACATGTAAATCGACTATGAAATATTCTAGCAGTATTACCAGGTGATCTCGTGTTCGTATTTTAGCCAATCAGCGCTCAGAAAGGGTTGTCCGAATAGAAATCCATTTTGATGTATTCAGTCAATTATATTTTTCGTTATTCTTTAGGAAACTAGTTGAAATTTTGTAATTATGTTTGGTTATGAGAACTATAGCTCTGACAAAAATATGGAATCGAAATAAAGTATATTACAGGAGATATTCAGTTGTTTTAATCACAAAATGGATTTCTATTTGACAACTAGTGCCAGTACTTTTCCGCGTATCAAGATCATCTGGTAAGTATATAAACTATATTTTTATCAACATACCAATGTGAGGTGAACAAAATCCGCATTAAAAATTTAAAATCACTTCAAATATTGTACAACTGAACAAGTCACACGACAAGAGAAACAATATTATTTGCTTGATTGTATTTAAAAATAAACAATCCATATTTTCACGACATTTTAGAGAAATACCAGAATTAGTGCAGAAAATTTCCAATTCGTTATATTATAAATTCGTCCGTTTGTTTATATTCGCATAAATTATATATTATTTAATTACTATTTTCCATATTTCACGCTGACAATACGTCAGACTCCGTGTTTTCCATATTTTTCTCTGACGTCAGACTCCGTGTTTTCCATATTTTTCTCTGACGTCAGACTCCGTGTTTTCCATATGACTCCGTGTTTTCCATATTTTTATGACGTCAGACTCCGTGTTTTCCATATGACTCCGTGTTTTCCATATTTTTATGACGTCAGACTCCGTGTTTTCCATATTTTTCTCTGACGTCACACTCCGTGTTTTCCATATGACTCCGTGTTTTCCATATTTTTATGACGTCAGACTCCGGGACTCCGACTCCGGGACTCCGACTCCGGGGCTCCGACTCCGGAACTCCGACTCCGTGTTTTCCATCTAACCCCTGCGAACAGGCTATGATTTTTACAATATCCAATCAGAACACGTAGTCTATCGAACCTATAGTCAGCAGCCAATCAACTCTTTGCTTCCATTTTTGAAAGTTATGTGTGGAATGTGAACCCAAAAACTACGCCAATTTCACCAGAGGTTATTCAAAACAGGCGAAAATAAATACCCTCTGGTTCCGGGGTAATAAAATGATTTAAGACTTGTTAATTTACACTTGCATTTATCCATAAACTATACTTGCTAAACCAACGTTAATGGAAACATTATAGCAAAGCTTTTATTGGAGAACACTATAATAATTTTTGACAGCTTCTAGAATTAATCTTTAAATCTGTTTTCTGTAAATTTTAATTCATTATAACCCATCGCGTTCTACAAATTTTGACGTATATATATATATTGCATTATATTTATTCTTTTTTCTTATTAAAGACAATTTGGTACCTTATTTATATGCCCTTTTGTTCTTGCTGTATAAAATGTTGGGAGAGACTTGTTTCCTTGCGAATTTAGCAAAAAACTGAAATGCTGAAGGAACTATTTTATTAAATTTTCACTTTTTATGTGACAAACAACATTTAAAGAATACATTATTAGCACGAAAAGCAATACTGGCAATTAAAGAAATATAACTTGCAAGAGTTTACTTCTTCTACTGGTGTAGGATTTTGAACTACATTAAGCTTGAGGATGTGGTACTTCTTCAATCACAATAAGAGAAATGGAATTCCAACCAGTATCACCATTTCCGAGATTATAACCACTCTCACACTTTCCTATCCAGAACCCCACACGTATGTGACCTTTAGGAACTTTGTTACAGTAGCCTTCAATGTGGCGGTGACGATGGGGGTTGACTTGGGTGGATAAAACGTAGAAAACTCCTTCAATAGTCCCTGGTTTTGTTCATTCTGCACCATGAAATGTAAAGTACCACGTGCTACAAGTATCAGTACCATAAGGACGTATATTTCCTTCGTAGAATACACGAAGTGAGGTGTTGTCATACTTCTTGTTGAAAATACAGTTCTAAGAAAAGAAAACACAATGAGTTAGGATTAACTAAATTAAGATTAGGCACAGGATAAGGATTAGGTTAAGACTAGAAAATACATGCATGCAGAAACCCTCGCCTTGCTGACAAAACCATTGCATTTTTCGAACATGAAGTATCTAAAGTAGTTGTCATGGTAACACGATAACTTTTTAAGAATATTCTTACAAATGAAAAATTGCCTAAAAGTATCACTTTTAATTACAAAATTATCAATTTCCCAACATTTATATGTTAGGTATGTTATTATACGTAATATAAGTTTCAATTTAAGGTAAAATTCAACCACATGTACAAATGTTTCGCAAAACGTTTTAAAGTGTTCTTTATAAAACTAAACTGCCTTTAATTAAATGGCTTTATCGATAAACTTTGACAATATACAAATAACTTTGCTTTCTTTAGTTTATTTAAAAAATCAATATAATAAAAAAGGGAATCAATATTAAAGATACACTGAAATTATATGCTGTCTTGTTTAGTTGTTTCATATACGCAAAAGCCGTCGGATTTTAAAGCAATTATGAAATCAATATTTACTGAAACAAACTTACCTTCGTTAACGTCGGCTCCCTTCTTTTAGCCAATTCTTTCGCCCTTTCTTTCTTGAAATTTACAAAATCTTGCCAGAATGCGAACAAAAATGAAATATATTTGCAAGAAATTTTTCAATCATCAAATCAAGAAATGTTTGCTATTTCGCTGTCGTCATGCAGTCGTTATAATGCAAACTTTAAATTGGACCAATCACAGTGTTCGCTATTCATGACAGTCCGCCATATTTTTGAGATCAGTGAGGATGACCACCCGCGGTTGGTGACCCGCGCCCGCGGTAATTGGTGAACTTTAGACTTCGCTAATGCTTTCGTTTCCCCGGGTGTAAATAGCCGGGGGGAATTAGTACACTCGCACGGCGTCGCACGGCGCTTTACGCCGTCGGCTCGGGGATTAGGTTGAGGTTAGGATTCGGCTTTAGTTGGAGTTAGGGTTATATAGTATCCGACTGGCTATACGAAGGGGTTTAAAGGGATACGGCAATATATTTTTTATTATTTCATTTTAAGGAACTTTTAAAACGATATATTAATCTCCTTTACCGATTTTGCGTAACTTTATTATTTCTTGAAATATTTTGACTTAAAATAATTTGCTGTCTGCCATCTTGGATTAATTTTCATCTCATTATCGGTGATTTTAGTAACGTTAAAGGCAGGGTTAGCCTAAATGACCAAATAACATTAAAGGGGCAATGTCACCGATTTTTGACCTAAAATGGCTTTTATTCAAAAACTCAACTACAAAGTTAAAAACAAACATTGTAAATGGATTAAGTTATGATATAGGAGTCATATTAAACAACTTTGAACTCCCACGCAACATGTAACTGAGATTTTCATAAAAATTGACTAAAACTTGAAAAAGTGTCTGCCAACAATTAATCAAGATGCCATTTACAATCCATCTCAATCCTGGCGTAATCTTGCCCATCCAGACTTCTGTATATGCTTTTTGTGTCTGTTATTGCTTTATTTTGTGCTCACAATCATTCTTTTTCAGTTTTGGGCGAAATTTGCGAGGGTTGGAATTGCTCAAAAATCGGTGACATTGCCCCTTTAAGTCTTGTTTGAAAAGTCGTCAGACAGTTTTTATTTCAAATAGTTACTGAAGTATGTGATTTTGGGCTCATAATAACCAATTGCTCTGTGGATAAAATTCTTGCGTGACCCTGCTTAATTATGATGTCACATGCATATCCTCCAAAATCCAAGATGGCGGAAAGCTCGCTGATTTGTTATTTTTTCTGTTCAAATACCTCAAGAAATAATAAAGTTAGGCGAAATCAGTAAAAGAGATTTACATATAATTTTTTTAAAGTTCTTCCAAATGAAATAATAAAAAAATATATATTGCCGTATCCCTTTAAGATTAGGAGAGATTGAAAAGATAAGGTTTACAGTTAACAAATAAGAAACAGTGTCCGTGTTATTACCACAATTCGTAATTATAAATTAACAAACCAATGTAGTTTAGTTTGCAAATTTTAATTACACAATATTACTCGATCTCACAAGCGACATAGTCGATTGAAACATATACTAGTAAAACAATAGACTATTGTCGATTGAGAAGTTATTTCATAAACTTGTGGCTCGCGTTACACCAGGGTACATACATACATACATACATACATACATACATGACTTTATTAAGAACACGGAGAACCATCACTACATATTTATGAAAATTAGCTATTTACAAATAAAAGCAATTAATATAAGTTAGGAAGAAGACAAGATTGAAGGGAAGAAGGAAAAGAGGAGAGGTACTGTTCTACCTGGTTGCCGTGTGGGAGTCGGTAAGACTGGAAGAATATAGAGATTTTACACTTCCTTTAAACGAGGAGAGGGATGATGATAATCTAAGAGATTGAGGCAATCAGTTCCATAGTGATGCTCCACTATAACTGAAGGAGAGCTTATAATAATCAGTATTGGGCTTAGGAATAAACAACTTGCCATTAGAATTTCTTAGTAAATATTGACAATTTCTGGATGAAAACAATTCTTGTAAGTACTGGGGAGATTGACCATTAAGAGTTTTAAACATAACAACAGCTTTTTGCTTTTGACGGTTAACCGACAAAGTGTTCCACTGCAGCTGATCTAGAAGTTGACTAGATGAAATATCGTAAGAAGAACGGGTAATAACACGAGCTGCTCTGTTTTGAAGTTTTTGAAGCTTATCACTTAGAGTTACTCCGAGGCCGTCCCATACTGCAGCACAATAGGAAAAGTATGGTTCAATAAAAACTTTATAGGCTTTAATAGCAGTTTCCTGGTCAATCAGCCCGCGCACCCGTTTTAAAGCTCCAATACCAGAAGAGATCTTTTAGTGATGACCTCAACATGGTTTCTCCAAGTAAGGTTTTCATCCAAGGTTAGCCCTAGGGTTTTAGTTGAACTAACTTTCCTCACTGGCACATTGTCGACCAATTAAGACACTTGGCTCGTAATTATTAAAAGTTGCTAAACGCTGACGTGAACCAATGATCATGAACTCAGTTTTAGCAATATTCAAGCTTAATTTGTTGGCTATTAACCATCTGTTTAGGTTAATCAGACTAGAATTCATCAGAAATTCAAGGTGAGATAAATTATCACTACTAAAATTTAGGTTGGTATCGTCAGCAAACATCCTTGCGAAACCCTTATTCAGGCAGTTTGGGAGATCATTGATATAGACCAAGAATAGCAGAGGCCCGATTATTGAACCCTGAGGAACTCCTTTGGATGTAGAAGAGATACCAGAAAACTGACCGTTAACAAAACACTTTTACCTACGATCAGTTAAATATAGGATCTAAACCAAGATTGTGCCAAGTCATCCACACCATATGCTTTCATGATCAACTTTGAAAGTAAAATGTTATAGTCAATAGTGTCAAAGGCCTTCTTCAGGTCAATGAAGACTACGCCGTTTAAAAGACCTCTATCGATATTGACACACCAGTTATTAGTTGCTTCTAGTAAAGAAGTGAGGGTGCTGTAATTAGACCTAAAGCCAGATTGATAAGGATTGATAAGCTGATTATTAGTTAAATATGCATAAAATTGGTCATAAATGAGCCTTCCAAAACTTTTAGCAATTTGCAGAAATGATTGAAATAGGTCGATAGTTGCCGAGATCACCTTTATCCCCATTTTTAAAGATAGGTAAAACTCTAGCCATCTTCCAATCATTCGGATAAATTCCCATGGGGATTGGGCGATTAAAAATGGCCTTGAGTGATGGAGACAAAATCTCGGCAGCTATTTTCAAGACCTTACAAGGAACATTATTAGGACCAGTTGCTTTATTAGGATTAATGGATTTCAGAGTTTTGATTACGGTCTCAACATTTATTTCAGCAAACGAAAATGAGCTATTGACTGGGTTTATATAAGAAATAGGATTTACGTCTGGGCTAGGTAAATTGTTGGCAAGGTTATCGCCTATCGTAGTAAAGTAGGTATTGAAAGCATTTGCTATATCAGCTGAATTCGTGATCTCTGCTCCGTCATGTTTTGTAGTTTTCACATTTGTGGTTGCATTGGCTTTGCGTGAAGAAAGTTCATTAATAAGTCGTTACGTTTTCTTTGGATCATTTTTGGCTGTATTAATCCGCTTCATGAAGTAATCTCGCTTCGACTTTTTAATAAGCTTATTAGCTTCATTGCGAGCTTTTTTATATCGAGACCAAATTTGATCGTTAGGATTTTTATCAAAACGTTTTTTGAGAGAGTCTCTTTCGCGTAATTTATGAATTAGCAATGAGTTAATCCACGGAGATTTTTTACATCTAAGCCTTTTGGTTAAAACAGGAGCATGAATGTCCAAAATATCTGAAAATTTGGTGAACCAGGCTGTCCACATATTAGGATTGTTTTGTGAGTTTATATCGGACCAATTTATTTGTCGGATATCATTTAAAAATTCCTCATCGTTAAAATTTTTCATTTGTCTCCTAGTGACTGGATAATTTGTATCGATAACTTGATGATTAGATTTACGAATCAAATAGATCAAGGAATGGTTACTAATACCCAATGAATGTGTTCCAGACACTGTTACTTTGTCAGGATAGTTTGTAAAACAGAGATCGATAAGTGTTAGTGATTCTAGTAGGCTGTGATAAAATCTGGGAAAGATTGTAGATATTAGAAATATTGAGGAATTCACTCGCATTGCTGTCAAGCCTCTCTGATAATAAATCACAATTAAAATCTCCTAATAAATAAAATTCCGTGTTATCAACATCAATCTTATTAATTACATTGTGGAATGCAGAAAGAACAGACATTGGAGAATTAGGAGGTCTATACCAAGGCACTACCAGAAACGGACTTGAGTGAGGTTTACAAATTTCAATAGCAAGGAGTTCGAGGTTTTCACCAGATAGATCTTCTCGAAGTCTGAATTTAAATTAGTTTTAATAAAAATACAAACTCCACCACCATGACGGCCATAAAAATCCGTGGATTGAAGTGAAAAATAATAATAAGAAGAAACGTAAACAAAATGCGAAGCAGAAAGAGCAACAAAATAAACCACCAATAAGATCTGATGCTGAGAAATTAGTTGCTAAAACAAACGTAGGTATGCGGCAAGAAACCCGAAGCGCACCATCAAAGACAGCTGGACCAAGCGATCAGACCAAAAATGATGAGAACCTCGACCTTGAGGAAAGCCATCCAGGCACTAAGCCAACAAGAGTGATAGTGGCGGGTGACTCCATGGTTAAACATGTCAACGGTTATAAGATGTCAACGAAAAGCAAATATAATTCAAGTATCTGCCTTCCCCGGAAGTACCACGTTAGATATGACAGATTATATAAAACCGATATTAAGAAAGAAACCCGATAAGCTTATTATCCATGTCGGAACAAATTGCCTAAAAAGTCGTGAAAACTCGGAGCGCTGTGCGGAAGAGATTGTTAAATTGGGCGAATCAGTAAAAAAATGCATACCAGAGACGGAGGTGGCAATCTCGAGCTTAATAACACGATCTGATGACGAGTTTCTAACACGCAAAGTCAGCGATGTTAATAAAGTCCTCAAACAAACCTGCATTCAGAAACATTGGAAATATATCGATCACACGAGCATCACACCCGAGCATTTAAACCAAAGCAGAATCCATCTAAATAAAGTGGCAACAATCAAGATGGCACGCAATTTTACTGATTTTATTTATAATAGGAAACATTAGGACAACGCCGTGTGGGAGCCTGTAGCTAATACTGAAATACAGCCAAGTATAGATGACCAATCGTCGATAACCTTGGGTAAGTCAAACGAATCAAATTATTCAAATATCTCATTATATAATTTAGAAAAAATACCATTTCATCGGGGCATGTCTATGGCATGTTTGAATATAAATAGTTTATTTGCCCATATAGATGAATTACGAGTATTTATGAGTAATAATAAAGTAGACATATTATGTATTAATGGTTGTTTACCATTTACATGGAAACCCCATCTGGTTTCAAATTGTGGTAATGGTAAGCGAACTTTCGGATAGAAAATCGCATTCGGATTATGTGCTTTCCATTTAATAATTTCAATTGTTAAATTGAGAAGAGGCTGGAACTGGTGAAAAAATAAAAAAGATGTAAATGGAACAACATTTACCGGTTGAAACGTTCCAATCGGTAAGAGAGGACAACCTTTTCAAACAAACCGTTCATTCCGGAAAAGTTCCGGTTGGGCCGTCAAAATATGGTTGTTCCATTTATTTTCCGTATGGAATCACCGGAATTTCCATGTAAATGGTAAACAACCAATGAGACCAAACTTGATTCATCAATTAATGACAATGAAATCCATATACCAAATTTTGAAATCATTCGAAAAGATCGACGTACAAATGGCCATCACGGTGGCGGCATTTGCATTAAATTAGAAGTAATATTAATAATTACAAAATACGACATAATCTACAATCTGAAACTCTCGAAAATCTAGTTGTAGAAATTTAAAAACCACGATCTAAGTCTATCCTAGTTAGTACATGGTATAGACCTCCAGATTTACCTACTGGTTATTTTGCCGAATTCGAGCAAATGATTGGATCGTTCGATGTTGAAAATTTAGAGTATTTTCTGCTTCGTGATTTAAATGTTGATTTTACCCCAACAACTGAGTCACCGAGCAAGAATAAAGTAAAAGAAATACTTGATATATACGATGTCAAAGAATTAATAAACGAACCGACAAGAATTACTGCTACATGTAGCACCCTGATCGATTTATGACTAACCAATACACCTGTAAATATTGTGAAGTCTGGTGTCATACACGTATTTATTAGTGACCATTCATTAATATATATGATACGTAAGGCTAACTATATACGAGGGGGCCACAGAACGATAGATGCTAGAACAATGAAGAACTTCAACAGAGAATTGTTTCTAAGCGATCTTGAACTAAACCACTGGGATAGTGTCTATTGCTCCCAGGAACCCAACGAAATGTTTAATGTCTGGAAAAAAATGCTCATGAAAACCATAAATAAGCACGCACCACTTAGATCCAGGAGAATTAGGAATAGAAAATCTCCCTGGATTACAAAAGATTTAAGACGCCAGATATTTAACCGAGATT